CCTCCCCGTCCGAGCCTCGGCTCCCTCGTCCCAGACGGTCGTTTCGAGGAAGTACAGGGACGCCGGGGCCGTGGTCAGATGGACCCAGGGGGCTCTTTCAGTTCTAGACTCCTTTCTGTGCCGTCCTTGTTTGCCTTTCGCTACCTCCGAGCCCTGATTTGAATGATGGCGGCTTGATCCCCTCTGTGTCTAACAGCCAGGGGAAGAGGTGGGCGTGCGTGCCCGAGGAGCGATGGCCGGTCCTTAAAGGGCCATTTTGCAGGGAAGATGCGCAAGGACATGACTAGCAGGCGCCTTCGATGGGAATGTGGACCTCGTGGGGTCCGTACCTGGCCACGAGCCTCGTGTCCTCCTTGAGCACTTGTAACGTGTGGCTCCTGTGATGAGGAAACGATTTTTAGTCTTATTTAGTGTTAATTAAAAATAAAAAACCAAAGCAGGACAGATTTTAAAAATACAGTTTATGTGCTGATACTATTTTTGATACAGTGGATTAAATAAAGTGAGTTATTGAAATTTCACCCGTTTCTTTCTACTTTTTACATGTGCCTCCTTGGAGTTGTTTTTAAAATGCCTTAGGTTGCTGATGCTCCATTCCCATTGGACAGCGCTGCTGTGGCCTGGAGTGGCAGCTGTGGGCCATTTCCCCATTCCCAGCTCCAGTCTGATACTCTGCTGAGGGGCACAGAACTAATATTTAGTGTTAGCCTAGTCGTATCAGGAACTAAATAGGTATTTTTAAAACCTTTATTTAAAAAAAAATGTTACTTTTGACTTTTTAGATTAACAGGAAAATTGCAGTTAATAGACTTCCTGTATACTCCACACCTAATTTTCTCCATTAACTTCTTACACTAGTATGTTTGTCACAATCAGTGAGCCAGTACTGACTGATACAGTATCATTAACTGATGTCCATACTTTATTGAGATTTTCTTGTTTTTTTTTTTCCTTTTTGTCTCTTCCAGGATCCCACATGACAGTCCTCACGTCCCCTTAGGCTCCTTCTGTCTGTGACAGTCTTTCAGACTTCCCTTGTTTTGATGACCTTGACAGCTTGGAGGAGTGCAGAGATTTTGTAGAATTTCCCTCAATTGGGATTCATGTGTTTCATATTCTCTTTTAAACATGAGTACAATCTTCTGGATTTCTTAGGCCTTTTTAAGGAAACAGGTTCACTCGGAGGTTAAAGTCTAGATTTACGGAAGGGCAAACCTTCCATGTGGAAAAGTTCCGAATCCCCAGCCTCTTCTGGGAAGCCTCATGCGTCCTGGCTTCCTGTCTGTAGCCCCCAGGCGGACCCGCTGGCCCAGCCTGACTCTCTGGCCCAGCCCTTGGGCTCCTACCTGCCTGCGACGGGCTTCTCAGCCTGGTCGTATTGTGCGCCATCCAGGTTGGCATGGCCCAAGCAGAACCCTTGAATCACCACTGCTTATTCCCCCCAAAACTTTTCCCCAGCTCTGCCAGTGTCACCGATGTTTAATTTTTGTCACCTTCAGTTCTTTGAGCCACCGGACATGCCTGACTTCAATGTCGTTTCTCAGCAGCTTTGCTGATGCTGTCCCTGCCCCTCCCATCGGCTTCTCAGCATTCCAGAGCACCATCCAGTACTTTCCACGATAACGGGAACATTTTCCTCCTCACCGTCCAGTGTGGTCATCGACATCCCGTGTGCTACTGGCACTTGGAATGCTTAGTGTGACTGGGGAAATTGGAGTTTTTATTTCATTTTCATTATTTTGAATTTAGCCACGTGGCTACTGCTATTAGACAGTGCAGTTCCAGACTGCCTCGATGTCCCCGTGAGCGCGGTTGCTCTGGCTGCCCTCCCACAGCTACCCCTTCTGGGTGTGGTTTCCTCCGTCACTGGTCACCCTGCTGTCATTATCGGTCTCTTCACTAGAACATGTTGCACAAGGGCCTCGCTTATCTGTTCTGTTCACCATCCAGTCGCCCATGCCAGGCCTGGCCCTCAGCTGTGGAAGGTGCACTAGGCTGGCCAAAGGTGGAAGCAGACTGCCGAGGGCATTGACTTGGCCCCTGTACTTTCCCAAGACAGATCATCAAAAATAGGGGGACGTGAAAAGAGGTCACAAAGACAAACTGTCTCATATTTCAACATTAGGCGGGAACCACTGTCCCTGGTCAACGTGCGGAAGAGGAGCCTGGAATCTGGAGACGACGACCTGCCGACCAGGATGGACCACTACAAAGCCAAGGCTACGCGGCACATCTTCCTCATCAGGCACTCGCAGTACCACGTGGACGCGTCCCTGGAGAAGGACCGCACTCTGACGCCCCTGGGTACGTGGGGGGCGGCTCACCCCGACTGACCCCCGAGGCCGGTCTCCTCGAAGGTGCTCCTGTGGGTGCTGGGCCTCCTGGGACCTGTGGCAGGGATTCTCGGCCCAGATGCCAGCGTTGCCGTTATCAGTAATTGTCAGCTTCTGCCTCTAGAAGGGCTTTGAAAACGTCCCCAACTTTTAAAAAATAGCACAGGCGGTCCTCGGAGAGATGGTGCGGTGGGCGTGGCTGTGAAGCCCTTGGGGGAGGGGCTTGCCTTCAGTTTGTAGGAAAGCCAGCGTTTGTGAAGCTTCTGTGAAGCGTGGTAAAGCCCCCGCCCCAAGGGTCTTGTCGCAGGGCTCCTGGTGTCCTGCAGCCTGCTTTGCTCGATGG